TTGATCTCCATTTGGTACGTGTGCCCCTAAGACATAAGATTGTGGCTCTCAAAGTTGAGAAAGTTAGATGAGTCCTAATCCACCCTAATACCTGAGCATAGTTAGTGTTCCATTATTATTATTATTATTATCATTATTATTATTGTTATTGTTATTATTATTATGAGAGTGAGAAGGAATATTATTATAATTATCATTATTATTATTATTATTATTATTTATTATTATTATTATTATTATTTTTATTGTTATTATTATTAAGAGAGTGAGAAAAGTCTTCAACATCTTGTGAAACAGTTCAGAGGAATAGGACTGAGTATGAATACAGGGGAAAGAAAGTATTGAACAAAAAATATCTATAACAATAAGTTATTTCTTATCTTTTAAAAATAGATATGTAAGAAGCTCTTCTTGTTCGTATACAGTATCAGAAATGGTACTCACAAGAACTTGAGGAGGCATTTCCTTCAAAATGGAATAAAACCTAGGTAAAAATAATAAGAATAATCCAAAGAAGAGTAATTAAAATTTTTAATGAAGGGTTCATGGGAACACTGGTCGCATTCCTTGTCATGCTGTTTCTGTGGAAGGCATTAAAGATGTGGTAGCATTTTTGGAGAACTATGCTGAAGACTACGCCATTTTACTACCTGGGAGGATACCTGGAGTGAGGGATTATGGGAAGGCCAAGCTATTGCTGTCCAGTGTGTCCCGACGCATGGCAGTATGCTGATGCTGGTAGGGAACATACTCTCTGTGAAAGTTCCTTTAAAAGAATATGGAGAAAGTATGTTCCCCACATTTACAGCATCAAGCCAATGACGAACTTACAATGTATGCTGGACGTGCAAAAAGAACAGCACTGCAATTTTAAGGAATGCTGGCTGTGAGATTGAGCATCAGTCTGAGGTACATTTATTATTATTAACAATGTAATTATTCTTGCCTGTAAAATGCTATCCCTTAGTGAGTAACTTTGTCTTTAGTTAACTTGTTAATTTCATATTACTTTCAAGAATAATGATACTACATGAACATACAGTACTATTCCTTCATGTGTTAGTAGTATCTAATGGTATTTAAAACATGTTAATGTGTATTGTGTTCTTATTATTAGCATAACTTACCTTAATCTCTTTTTGTTGTTAGAAGAAAAGGAGACATCATAGGGGTAAATGGAAGCATTGACGAGGTGGCGGGAGAGGAGCAGGAAGAGGAGGTGGCCAAGGAGGAGGAGATGGACAAAAAAGAGGGGCAGCTGGCCTAGGAAGAGGGGGAGGTGGCCAAGGAAGCGGGGGAGGTGGCCGAAGACGAGAGGGAGGTGGCCAAGGAAGAGGCCAAAGAGGAAGAGGAGGCCCTGCTCCAACAGTAAGAGAAAGAAACATCATTAAACATAACAATAACAACAAATTTTTCATAGGATTCATCCACAAGTGCAAAGACAATAAACTATTTTAACGTTACATGTAAAGAACTTAATTATACTTCTAAATAAAAATAATATATATATATTACCTGTAAACTCAAGGAAAAGCGATGGTTGGATTTGAATGAAGTATGGGGATGATCCGTGTTCAAAACAGTCCATAATTAGGACTTTTAGCACTAGAGGACGTAATAATAACTCTGTAACTAGGTAATGAAAAAACTTACTAGTATTTGAAGCCACCATGAATGGCAGGGCTTTAGACAACTCTTACGATGTCCATTATACAAGAAATGATAGTTCAAATGCTGTGAAAAGCAAGTCAAAAGTGCTTCTTTCTTCATTCCCCGTTTATTAATTGATTTGGGTGTGGTTTTTCCTGGTAGGCGTGGTTTCAAGTACTACATGAACGGGCATGACAGGGAAACATTGAAAATAACTTAAAATGGCTTTTCTCTGTACTAGTATTCCAGAGCAATCGTCCAAACAGCATCCATAACTTCCAAATTTTATTGTGCATTGTCATAAACGGGATATTGCTGGAAAGGAATTTTTTTTCTCTATCTGTGAGTACCAAATTTAAAAATCAGATCTGTATTGTGTAATCAATTTCTGACTGGAAGTGCATACTTGTGAAACCATGCATGTTTTATGCATTCACCACATAAGTTATTTTGTTGCATAAGTTAATTACTATATACATGTACTGACAGACATACATGTAAATGTAGGGGGCCTCTACTGTAGTTTGAAGCACCCAATGTAAAAATTTGTACTGTATAACCTCTTGTGGCAATATTCTAATAGATTCATGTAATTTTGATTTGTAAGAATTAGTGTACAATTATGATTGTTTTAGTTTTTGAGCTTTGCGAGACTTTTTTGTCCAAGGCTATAGCAAAGATATAATATTAATTTTTTTATTTTGTTAATTGAAAATTCACTGCGCGTTACAAAAGTAATAACACATTTTGTATATCTTTGAAGACATGACGCCATATTTAGTATTAATAGTGCATAAATTGGGTTTGTTTTTGCACATTTATCAAACTGACTAGCTATACTCTTATGCAGTGCCGTAACTTTCTTGATCCAAAATCCCTGTACACCATCAGGTCCTGGAGTTTTCCAACAAGGCATCTTCTTACATTGCTTCATAACTCTACCTATACCAATACTCAGATTATCCTGCATCACTGATGTCCCACCTTCCTCAATCTCTCTTAACCATGTAGCATTCTGATTGAAATCCTTTGCCGTTCCCCAAATCCCCTTCTAAAATGACACACTTTGCTTTGCATCAAGCCCAAACCCTTCCTATTCAATCCCCCCATCTAGCTGCTGGTAAAACCTCTTTTGATTAGAATTAAAAAGACAATTTTGAGTATACTGCTTGATTCGCTGCTCATACCTCCTCACCTTCCCACTCTTAGCCACTAATCGCTGCTTCAGCTCTTCCAGAACGACTTGAAACCCCTTCCTCTTAATGTTATATTTCTTCTCTAACAGCTTATACTTACTCATCTTCTTTAATCTGCCAGCTCTCTTACTCTCCATCACACTTATATTACTTCTTAAGACCTTGATATCCTTTTCTAACCTCCTATGCCACCATGGCTTTTTTCCCCTTATAGCTCTGTTATCTTCTAATAACTCACATAGACCTAGCCGTTTAGCAACATTAACTCATACAGCTCTAATTAAACAATTTGTCTCAGTAATATCTGATGTCTTAATAAACTTCACTAACTCATTTACTTTCCTAGTTTCTTCCATTAGTCGATATCTATTCACTCTTCGAAAATCATAACGCTCCACTTTATCCTTACTCATAACTTCATGCCAAATTCTCTTCAATTCCATCACCTCCTCACGCACTGCACTCGGAACAGGATCTAAACCACTATCAACTGCACCATAAACATGCTCCTCTAATCTTCCCTCAACTACACCTGCATCATGAACCAAACTCTCTTCACAAGCTCCCTGATCCCCAAAGTCTAGCTGACTGACTTCTAGATCCCCAACACATCCTAAAACTCTTTGCCTAATAGCATCTAACTCCACCACACTTAGCCACCTTTTGCTCTTAATCAATCTAACCTGATCACACAGACGCTGCTCAGTTGTTACATATCCTCTATCCTTCCACAAATTAAATTATTATTATTATTATTATTATTATTATTATTGTTATTATTATGATTATTATTATTATTATTGTTATTATTATTATTATTATTATTATGATGAGAGTTAGAAATTATTATTATTATTATTATCATTATTATTATTATTGTTATTATTATGATTATTATTATTATTATTATTATTATTATTATTATTATTATTAAGAGAGTTAGAAAGGATTATTATTATTATTATTGTTAATATCATTATCATTATTATTGTTGTTGTTATTATTATTATGTGAGGGAGAAAGGAATATTATTATTATCATTATTATTATAATAATAATAATTATTATTATTGTTATTATTATCATTATTATTTTTAGAGTTAGAAAGGATTATTATTATTATTATTATTATTAATATTATTATTATTATTATTATTATTATTGTGTTAATGTAGTCACACAACACTAAGTTGGTATATGTACAGTATTGGTCTATAACAAATAGACTCTGTTATAAATCTCATGCTTAAATATCTCCTTAAGATTCTGGCAGTCCCCAATTATGCTGTTTTCTTTAAGTGTTTGATCTTTAACTTTGCATCTGCTCTCTTGATTCATTTACTAATCTTGATTGACACCGCTCCCAATGCTCCAACAACTATCAGTATCACTTCGACTTTCTTCAATCCCCACAATCTTATAATTTCCTGCTTCAACTCCTGGTACTTCTCCACTTTTTCTTTTCCTTGGTCTCAACTCTAGCATCACCCGGTACAGCAACATCTATAACA